TGTTCCTTATATCACAAACAAAAACTGGCACTAGTACTGGAACCCTAGTAATACCAGGAGGACAGTGTTCCTTATATCACAAACAAAAACTGGCACTGCATGGTTTCTGATGGCACCCTGTTTTAATTCTTAAGATTAAGATTTTTTTATACTATTTGGATTTGTGCCATAACGCACCTGGACAAGATCATTTCTATAAGGGGTATTGTTAGGGTGGTTGAAAATCTTCATCCCCCTGTTAATTATAAGTTGTTCAAATTATATATTAACCTGGTATATCTAATCACTTTTTTGTTTCAATTGGCAATCGTCTTCAACAGTTGATAAACCGAATATCAAACCAAACAAACAAACCAGTTTCTTGATTTTAATATTGTTCATGTTTTGGTCAAAACAGTATTCCATGCATATTGTGAAAAGGAACAGCATAAATGGGCAATGGACATTGTTTGGTTCAAAACGACTCAATATATATTTTAACTATTATGGAGCTATTAAAAAAAACTCTTTTAATTGCGAAAAAATACCTATCTTCATTATTTAGTAATTAAAAAATATCTTCATGCCGACTATCCGTGGTCACTTTGATGTAATCAGAATTTGAAAATATGCAAATATTTGATGCATTTCGCACAAACGATGGTTAATAAATGACTCATGACACCTGTAGTCTGTCAGATGGACAGAAATGTACTTACTAAACTTATATCTTGCGCATCTGTACTTATTCCCCGCCTACCGATCACAGTTTACATGTATCTGTTGTTATTATTATGGTTTAGTGGAGCCATACTGTTCAATAGGATGAAGAATCATAAGGCGACATGACGGGAACTCTGCAGCTTTCTACTGAAGTTGGATGTGTATTATCTTCGACATCCAAAGGTTCCGTTCTTGAAGTTGTGGGTAGCCGCTTTAATCATGCCACCAACCCTAGTCAGCCACATGTCAATATACCACAAGACAAATTTGGTTGAATTCGTTAGGGGAGGTGTTGCCCAGAAAGTAATTCACCAATCAGAAGTGTAGTGTGTATCCTGATTAATTATGCATAACATGAATACATCGAATCACAAAAGACATTTAGCCCGACTCTTTGAAATATCACCCTTCAAGTTGAAACAAAATCTTAATGTGAAAAATTACATTAAGGAAGGAAAGTTTACGTGGTTTTTTTTTTTGCAGTATGGGACTTTATAACAAAAAGGGTGGTCACGTACAAAAAGTATCATTGGAGCCACCTTCATACAGTGATGGGACGTTGCGAAATATTTAATATAAACATATTAACAAATTGATTAACATTAATTAATCAATTTTAATGTTTTCCTGTCTAAACATTTCCTCCACTTTAATTAGCTTTATTTAATACGCATATGTATGTACAAGGATGAACGCCTGGTCGTCATGGCGACTTCTGTTCGTATGGACATATATAATAGATATGTACACGAGCTAAAACATTTTAACAATGACACATATTCAGTGCATGGCCGGATGTGTGCGGTCTGCAATGTGTAGATGATGGAACTTAATAATGTTCCTGTTTTAGTTTCGCGAGACCGGCGTAATCATTAACATGCATGTTTTGTAATATCAATTAGGAGAATGCACTTGTCATTGTAACGACACACACTTTGTTTATTGCGGTGTTATATCATCCTTTTAATCACATGGTACGACTCTAAGTGAAAGTAGACTTAGCCATACCAATTAACCTATTGGCAATTTTAACATCTTTTAAAACTTCCACATTATATACTTTTCGTGGCTTAACATGTTTATATAAACTTAAGTAACCCCGCTCCTGCCGCCCTGCTCAGGTGTATGGCACTAGTGTGATTTAAAGGCTGTTCAGTCCTCGTCCTGTAGAAGTTCGACACACACAGATCATTATTACACCTTACATATCTGTAAAGTAGCGCTTTATCCGGATCGTACAATTTCACACTCCAGTGATCTTGACCTGAATATCAAACTGCTGACGTAGTACCCTCTGATACACTGCAAACGACTCCTTATCTGATGTTTTACACACGCTAAGCGCTAATGTATGTATTATGTATTGAAACTAACGTTGATACAATCAACTCCAGTTTTCATAAAAAAAAAATGGATTAATAGATGTATAAGTCTATATCTCGAGGCCCACAAGAAACTCCTCTGGCGGGCCTCATTTTCTTCCGAAATGTGACGTCACGAAAATGGAACTCTATCATTGGTCAACGAAGACACACCTCGTTTAGTGTAGAAAAAATCATCGGGGCTTATAAAAGACTCAAAGTGGGCGATTTTGACTTAGAGTAACGACAAATCATTCTGAAGAAGATCCCATTCGAGAAAACATCCCAATAGAAAATGCCAGAAATTGACTTACCAATGGCCCAGGAGATCGGCGTGATTGGGATCCCATTCAGCAAGGGCCAGGTAAGAACAATTCTATATTACGTATTCGTGTTGCTACTTTTTGATATTATATGTAATAAGTGTCCTCACATATTTATATCCAGCTAGCCGGAACACATTTTCTAGATGTTGGTTAATTGTTAAGTGTGTGTTCCCCATCGTTTACGGTTACAATGTCTTACTTTCTGTGTTAGAAACAGAGAAAAGAATATCAAAATAAACAACGTCAAAAGATAATGAAGTTTTGTTTGAAGAAATTCGTCTTTTTCAAAAACAAACCAGATGTTTTTAATTTACTTAGTAAATTTCTGGACTTGTGGTTTAGAAAATAAAAGTTTTGTTAAGAAACATATATAATATATCAAATATGTACATATGGTTAAAAGACTAAATTATTGCAATTATCGCTTATTTATCATGTAACTCGACGACATTTTTATATTTTGAAAATGGTTGAAATAATTTATGAATGTTGAACCAAGCTCTAAACAAACGAGATTATACCTTGTACATATTATCGCCTTTCTGATTGGTGGATAAGAGCACACCCCCGGACACTGTTACGTTACATCATTAATGCGTGTTTGCTATGGAAGTGTTGTTTGTCAGTCGAGTGTTGTTTTTCAGTCGAATGTTGTTGTGTTGATTGTCAGTCGAGTGTTGTTTGTCAGGCGAGTGTCTGAAGCTTGTCAAGGTGTTTTATTACTTTGATTATTTGTGGACTTTTAGGGTAATCAACACGAACATACACAACGCATTGGTGACTAAGTAGAGTATGTATACAGTGATCACAACAGTGACGCTTTATTGTGGCGGTGTACGAATAATGCAATGTTTTTATGCCAATGACACGTTCTTTGTTATTCACAATTGACAAATATAGGTACGGGCGACAACAACATTGAGCTATGCTATCCTCCAAGTTCGGGTCGACCTGTCAGCCAAGTATAATTATAGACCTGGCTTTGTTTGTCACTAAATCGGGTATGACATGGCTGAGAACAACTCCATGTCAGATGGCGCTAACCTGTGTTTTACAGTAGATAATCACTAATGGATTACCGACAGAAGCTAGTCATAAACAGCCTGTGTTAATTAGGGCTGTTCATCTGGGTAGTACAGGTTTCGAACGATTTGTTAAGTTAGCCTATTTACTCAATTTGAAATCAAAGTTAGCTCTATCTTCACAGAATCTTTAAAGCAATTTATAATGCAGTTTATTTTCAAACTAAAATTGAATATACTTAAAAACTCACAAATGAAATTCCGTTATTAATAAATATTTCCAAATATTTTTTCATTATTTTCAGATATCATGTAAATATATTTAAGGTTTAATGGTTTTCCTAAAATATAGCACCAACTAACTGACACACCCAGAAGTACAGAGAAAATCTTCTTAACCTGGCAAGGTTGAGATCACTAACTGTGCAAACGTCTAATAATTCTCGGAGAGATGAGTTTTTTTCCTCCCTTTCGGAGACCGCGTCTCATTTTAAAAGTCGCTATAGAAAACTAGGTAACCTTATCCGTGACCAGTGAAATGTAACTAAACAGAGTGACGCAGACCTAACCGGGTTTTAACAAGTTTACACGCAGACCGACTTTGTGATTTATGATGTGTGTTTATTAAAAGTTGACTTAAACTCTATGGTAATTCTATACGTTTTGTCATTATGACGTGTTCTCTGACTCATCATGGAGTAAATATTCTCTCCATTCATGATTACCCAAAGCCTGACCGAGTAATCGACATGATGGAGATATTTCGTTGTAGTAGATGATGGGTCGGTATTAAAAGGCGAAAGTTGAAAACTTTTTATAAAATGAAAAACATTTTAACCCCCGCTATTTATCGGCCCTTTTGCCAAACACAGTGGGTAACAACAATCGGTACAATTTGATTATAATATTCCTTCTTTCAGACTCCCCTCAAGCAACTCCTCTTATCTGCCATCGAGTTTATGTCTTCGAAATTTGTTAGACAACACAATAAAACATTAACATCTTTACATACATTTAAATCTCCTATATCTAGTGGTACAAATGCGTCTCCACCATCGGCGAACGCAATTTAAATATATTAAAATGATTTGTTCCGTGTTAAGATTGTTGATAATCCATCATGCGCTTGTGGACATTCCTGTGAGGATGTTGGCCATTTTTTCTTAGAATGTAAGCTTTTTAATACAGCACGAATTCATTATTTCAAAACATAAGCTGGTTAAATATATATCCAGTTTATTTAGGTTTATTTTTATTTGGCAATGAAAATCTGTCCGTAGATACCAATACAGAAGTATTTAAACACGTGCAACTTTTCATCAAATCCAGCAACAGGTTTTAAGTAAAATATAATAATTGTAAAATATAGTGTGATGCCTTGTAAAGTGCTATCATGTAAACATCAATATGTACTGTATTAGAGGAAAAGGCGTTGATAAGTTGATATAAGTTGTGTATCCTCTGCTCAAATTTGGGACGATAAATATGTTTATATCAAACTATGTAGGGCAGACACGGGTAGGGACCTATTATATAGCGTTTACTTGATAGCGTGTTTGAGCCTTTGCATGGCACGTACCCAGTGTATACGTCACATCCACTAGATATATACAATGCGGTCATGTTTATGTCTCAATTTAGTTCTCCTTGTATATGCATTTCAATATTTCAATATTGAGTAACACTGTAACGCGGTGGTGGTGGTGATTATAATTATTAAGGATCCATGTCGCACTGTAACGCGGTGTTGGTGATTATAATGATTAAGGATCCCCGTCTCATTGTAACGCGGTGGTGGTGATTATAATGATTAAGGATCCCTGTCGCACTGTAACGCGGTGATGTTGATTAAAATGATTAAGGATCCCTGTCGCACTGTAACGCGGTGGTGGTTATTATAATGATTTAGGATCCCTGTCGTACTGCGCGGTGGTGGTGATTAAAATAATTAAGGAGCCCTGTCTTAGTTTAAACATATTTTATTGCCAAAATAGTGACAACAGGATTGGGCACAAGTTATTACAACATTATTTACGCCCTTTCCTCAAATATATACATCAGATTTACAAACATGGCACAACTGGGTATCAAATAATATGTATAATAGAAGCATTACAACAACAGAAACAAAATGAGAAAGAAAACGAAAAAGAGAAATAACAACATTGAACAGTCTCACAAATTGAGTATAGAAATATAAAACGCCTTACGAATTAAAACCTACCGCTGGTCTTTATGAATTTTTGCACGTTACGAAAAATATCATTATTTTGTTGAGAAGACAGATCCGGAATACAAGATAACAATATATCTAAGGAGATTTCATTAACAAAATTTAGATTTTGAAACAATTCAAACCTCTGGTGTGTATAAACTGGACATTCAAAAAAGAAATGATAGGCGTTTTCACATGGAGATCCACAGACACAGGCGGGACTATCTACGATGTTGACTCTAAATAAATCATAATTTAGGGAACTGCAGTTGTACCTTAATTTAGTGTGAATGATATTTAGTTTTCGTTCACCATAACCAAAATAAGCCCTGTCCGCTGTAACACGGTGATGTTGATTATAATGATTAAGGATCCCCGTCTCACTGTAACGCTGTTGTGGTGATTATAATGATTTAGGATCCCTGTCGTACTGCGCGGTGATGTTGATTAAAATGATTAAGGAGCCCTGTCCGCTGTAACGCGGTGATGTTGATTAAAATTATTAAGGAGCCCTGTCGCACTGTAACGCGGTGATGTTGATTAAAATGATTAAGGATCCTTGTCGCACTGTAACACGGTGATGTTGATTAAAATGATTAAGGAGCCCTGTCCGCTGTAACGCGGTGATGCTGATTAAAATGATTAAGGATCCTTGTGGCACTGCATCGGGGTTCTGTGATTAAATCCTGATCTGGCCTGTTGCATTTGTAAAATCAGAACAATGGTTAATCTATTTTTATTTTCATCTTCACTATTTTTTGGGTAAAGCTCCGCTAGGTTTAACTTCCTTTTCAAAAATAGTATATCAGAGCTACAGTTTAAAAAAGTATTCAGCTATCGATTTTTTTCAAACTTACGATATATACGCATTGAACATGCAACTATAACTGTCTAATTATGACCTTATATCTCGTACATTCATTAAGATATTTTTAATTACTCAATTGGGATTATTCTATATAAAAAGAACGCATTCCAATCCTCAAATTAAACTAAAAAACTAAAATTTGTATTTCATTTTTCTTTGTGGTTTCTATTGTGTCATAATTCATTTTAAACAAAGTTTAAAAGTTTAAACATTTAAAAGTTTAAACATTTTTTTGCGAAAACAAGATGTTTTCTCTGGTTAACTCTGTCATCGGGAACCATTTGTGAATTTCCGTCAAGTTTAAGTTTGAGTTGGTGCTCGATTGCTGTAACAGACCCGAACTGTTCTCCACATTCACGTGTACTAGTTGTTAATGGCTATTCTTGGTTCTGTACCGTTCTGTTGGTAGTATCCGTCCTATACACAGTAGCGTTAGGCGGTGCGCCCGTTTTATAGGACTAGATGACTTAAGTTATAACCTCTTTTTAATTTATGGACTAAATTTAAGCTGATTGATTTATTGAAAGTAAAGTTTTTGTGAAACCTTGTTACGATGTTCCCTTTAAGTTGATGTTTCTGTTCAGTGTCGGGGTTTCCCTGTCTAGTTAAGTGAATCACATCGACACTTGCGGTGTAGTGTCCGTCATAATCCACTGACCACGGGTGTCACCACAGCCTGTCTTGGTAATGGACGACGATTGGGGGGGGGGGTCCGCTTTGGTTCAGTAGGCCAGTCGCTGACCTCCGTATTTCCGCATAGTCACCTGAGCGCGACCACCCTCAATGGTACATGTGATATATAGGTATAGGTGGGTCAACCACGTTCATTGACCTTCAGGGGTAACCACTAGCTTTGCCATGGCGGGGATATCTATAACAATATTGATGCTGAAATACCACACAACAGCATTGCGATGTTCTCTTTCTCTTCCTGCAGTCTCGTCACGGTACAGACCTAGCGCCCCAGAAGCTCAGAGAAGCTGGATTGATAAAGAAATTGGAGGATCATGGCATCAATGTGACTGACTTTGGTGACCTACCATTAGAAACCCATCCGGATGACCTCCAGATTGGAAACACGAAGAATCCTAAAACCGTCGGAGCCGCATCGGAAATGGTAAATACATATGCATTTTTTGATGATGGAAAGACCGGATGTTGACTTTATATTTAAAACTTTTCATTGCCAATCATTTAAGACATTTAGGGATCACTGCCATGTCAGTTGCCTGCGTTGTTAGTAGTTGCAGTAAGAGATTACGAAAAACCGAAATGTTGAGAACATTATATTTTCCCTTTAGATTGCCAAATCGGTCCAAGGCATACTGAAAGAAAACAAAACAGTATTGGCTCTGGGTGGGGACCACAGCATGGCCATAGGCTCAATATACGGACACTGGCTGGCCCAACCTGATCTTGTCATCATCTGGGTCGATGCCCACGCAGACATAAATACCCCACTGACCTCCGGAAGTGGAAATATGCACGGGATGCCGCTGTCCTTTCTCATCAAGGAACTCCAGCAGTATATACCGGAACTTCCTGGGTTGGAGTACGTGAAGCCTTGGTAAGTCCTCTTACACAATATATAGCGAGTTAAGGGTGGATGTACCTATCCCTGTAGGGGGATATAGAATGATCTGGGATGTTGCTACAGTGTCTGTGCTGTTAACATTCAAGTGAGCTACCACTATGAAAAAAAGACATGGTAGTCGGGTCAAGGTGGCCGGGGTTCGACTCCCCGATCGGACGTGACAAGGTAAGGGGTCACCTGCCCGACCACGTGTATTTTCTCCTCTACTCTGATTTCCTCACACATTATCATCTATCTATCTATCTATCTATCTATAATAAAACGCATTAGAGTGACTTAATCTAGGGAGATAAGAGTGCTATGTAAAATGTCGCAGTAATAATCAGATATCGTATAGGTTAACATTCCAGATTCCTACTCCTGTATGGAAGGATGCGTCGTGTATTGATAATGATATTTAATAGCTCACTATTTGAAGCAATTCGTTTTCATGAAATATGTTTCATTGATTGTTCTTCTTTGCCTTTGCAGTATTTCTGCCAAGAATCTTGCCTACATTGGACTGCGGGACGTGGACCCTGGTGAGAGGTAGGTACCTTCAACTGTACCCTAGCTGTGTGTGTATTGTTAGTCACATTCATTACTGTCCCGTATATCAAACGTAGACAACACGTCTGAACTCAATAGTAATATACATTTACATTTGTTTATACAGGAAAATCATCGAAATGCTTGGCATTCCAGCATTCTCAATGCAGGAAGTTGACAGATTCGGAATAAAAGAAGTCGTAGATATGGCACTGAAAGCAGTAGACCCGAAGTAAGTTGTTGCTTAATTATCACGACCGAAAACAATACAAACACATAACAAATACCTCAAATGCTTTCTATTTGCGAACACCAGATGGTCTTGTAAACGGAATGTCGTACTGTAGCTGAGGTTTGCTGCATGTCAAAAATATCAGCATAACATATAAGACATGTGAACAGATCTATTGGCCTATGGTCAAAGTCGTTATTAATTATTTTTTTTGCGTTAGTGTGCTTTCGTTGCCATGTCCTTGTTCATGCGATGACACCAACTTGTCCTACTTTCAGCGGTGACAAACCAATTCACATGAGTTTTGATGTGGACGCTCTGGACCCCACCTTAATTCCCAGTACGGGCACCCCCGTGCATGGCGGGCTCTCCCTGAGGGAGGGACTATATATAGCAGAGGTGATGGCCGCTACCGGTATGTACTTGGTGTTAATGGTCTTACCCCACTGGCGCTCCAACATGTACAGTTTCTAGTGTGAATGGTCTAATCCTGCTGGTGATCAAAGCTTTTTTTAAGTATTAATGCTGCAAAATCGAAAAAATATTGTCCAGGCGGCTTTCCCAGAGTCACTCCCACTTCAACCCCCTTACCTATTTTCTTTTGCTTGCAGGCCGATTGTCCGTAGTGGATATTGCGGAGGTCAACCCAATGTTAGGTGACGCGAAAGACGTCGCCAAGACGATAGACATGACGCTGGAAGTGATCCAGCGGTGTTGTGGACGGACGCGCAGGGGGGCGTATCCTCCGGGATACACAGTCCCTCTCCCAGAGTCGTCGTAGTTACAGATAACTCGTGAAGTTTTGGACGATTCTCATTTCACAGAACACACGTTATATGGCATCATTCTCCTCTAGTGTTGAATGTTTGCTTACATGACCTCTTTGACATTTGATTTTGTGAATTTAAAAAACGTTATTTTTTTTAGATCCTACGCCCCCTTTTTTTTCTAACAGGAAGGGCATGACATGAGAGCAGGGCCGTGAACCGTACGTTGTAATGGTGTCATGGACTGTAGTTAAACACTTGTGTCTGTTTCCGTTCAGTCACTGTTATGGTTCGTTGATAATTTCTGTATTTTTGTTTGTTTGCTCATTATTAGTTCTCTCCACACCGGAACTGCTCACTTTTTTGACGTGTTATCTTCATGCAACGACTGCTGTCATGCATGACATCAGGAGGGTAGAACAATGTCATGTATGACAGCAAGATGGTAGATCGATCAATGTCATGTATGACAACACGATGGTAGATCGATCAATGTCATGTATGACAACAAGATGGTAGATCGATCAATGTCATTTATGATCTGACGAGGGTAGGGCGATGCCATATATGATTTGGCACGGCCGAACATAAGTCATGTACAATATGAGGATACGCCGATATAAGAAGGGTAGATGTTGTGTAGCATGTCATCCATGTAGTGACCACGGCTCACCACGCCCTTGGCTGTCATTTATCAACATTTATTATTGTAATCTTTTAACCACTGCCTTCAGCCTTATTCACTTATTTATTTCACACTGTGAATAACTGCGCGTTTAATATTTTGAGTTCATTTTCGAGATGAGTCGTCCTTGAGTGCAGATATCTCGCTGATGCTTATAGATCTGTTATTGTTTTAGTGATGACGACACGAATAATGATGTAGTCCGTGAGTAAAGTGTATACCTCCGACAGAAATATCCCACGTTATACCCCCTGTTTCTGTCTCGTTTGACCTGTCTGACCCTTTACGTTACATTTATTGCAAAATTTCAGACGACGGTGTATGTCATCCACACACTAAAATATATAACAACCCGCATTTAAAACCTTCCATTTTGTCGTTGAACGGTTTTTGGTGTTATTTCATTAACGATATTATACATAATAATATATTTTGGTACCTGCTAAGCACGGACTACATTGTGTACGCGGAAGCTTTGAAAGGTAGCTTTAGTATCACAGATTCAACATAAATTTGAGGCCCCAGATGGGATAATTTTAAACTATGGTGAAATTAAATATGCTCCGAACTAAGGAATTGAAAAAAACAACAACGAGTTAGCTGTAACTGGGCGATTGCCTCCATTACGGCTAAGCTTCTATAACATCCCAAACTCGACTTGTGCCTCTGTTGGGATTATGGTATAGAACCTTAATCAGCCCTCGACAGAGATACGCCATTCTGATTCAGTTATAAGTTATTTTGGATGATATAAGAGATGCCGGCTATTTTATAAGAAATCATGTCTTGAATAGAATATAATTTTCTTTATTGTAGGTGATATTGATTTACGTAGGCCGGTGATATTGGTTTGTGGTAGGCTAGAAAAGTGATATTGGTGTAAGCTACGTGATCTACGCACACCTAGACAGGTGATAATGATGTTTTTCCTATGTAAGTTGATTAATTGGTAATTAAATCAATAAATAAACTGTTACTGTTAACGAATGTTTGAGTGTTGTTTTACTTTTTGATGAACCCTAAGTCAAATGGCTGAATGACAATGATACTGTCATCGAAACTAAATAATGATACTGTTATCAATACTAAATAATGATACTGTCATCAATACTAAATATACTGTCATCAATACTAAATAATGATACTGTCACCAATACTAAACAATGCTATTGTCACCAATACTAAATAATGATACTGTCACCAATATTAAACAATGATACTGTCACCAATACTAAACAGTGCTATTTTCACCAATACTAAATAATGATACTGTCATCTATACGAAACAGTGATACTGTCATCAATACTAGACTAAATAATGATACTGACATCAATACTAAATAATGATACTGTCACCAATACTAAACAATGATACTGTCACCAGTACTAAACAATGCTATTGTCACTAATACTAAATAATGATACTGTCACCAATACTAAATAATGCTATTGTCACCAATACTAAATAATGATACTGTTATCAATACTAAATAATGATACTGTCATCAATACTTAACAGTGATACTGTCATCAATACTAAATAATGCTATTGTCACCAATACTAAATAAGGATACTGTCATCAATACTAAATAATGCTATTGTCACCAATACTAAATAATGATACTGTTATCAATACTAAATAATGATACTGTCACCAACACTAAACAATGATACTGTCACCAATACTAAATAATGCTATTGTCACCAATTCTAAATAATGATACTGTAATCAATACTAAATAATGCTATTGTCATCTATACTTAACAGTGATACTGTCATCAATACTAAATAATGCTATTGTCACCAATACTAAATAATGATACTGTCATCAATACTAAATAATGCTATTGTCACCAATACTAAATAATGATACTGTTATCAATACTAAATAATGATACTGTCACCAACACTAAACAATGATACTGTCACCAATACTAAATAATGCTATTGTCACCAATTCTAAATAATGATACTGTAATCAATACTAAATAATGCTATTGTCATCTATACTTAACAGTGATACTGTCATCAATACTAAATAATGCTATTGTCACCAATACTAAATAATGATACTGTCATCAATACTAAATAATGCTATTGTCACCAATACTAAATAATGATACTGTTATCAATACTAAATAATGATACTGTCACCAATACTAAACAATGATACTGTCACCAATACTAAATAATGCTATTGTCACTAATACTAAATAATGATACTGTCACCAATACTAAATAATGCTATTGTCACCAATACTAAATAATGATACTGTTATCAATACTAAATAATGATACTGTCATCAATACTAAACAATGATACTGTCATCAATACTAAATAATGCTATTGTCACCAATACTAAATAAGGATACTGTCATCAATACTAAATAATGCTATTGTCACCAATACTAAATAATGATACTGTTATCAATACTAAATAATGATACTGTCATCAATACTAAACAATGATACTGTCATCAATACTAAACAATGATACTGTCATCAATACTAAATAATGATACTGTCATCAATACTAAATAATGATACTGTTATCAATACTAAATAATGATACTGTCATCAATACTAAATAATGATACTGTCATCAATACTAAATAATGATACTGTCATCAATACTAAATAATGATACTGTCATCAATACTAAATAATGATACTGTCATCAATACTAAATAATGATACTGTCATCAATACTAAATAATGATACTGTCATCAATACTAAATAATGATACTGTCATCAATACTAAATAATGATACTGTCATCAATACTAAATAATGATACTGTCATCAATACTAAATAATGATACTGTCATCAATACTAAATAATGATACTGTCATCAATACTAAATAATGATACTGTCATCAATACTAAATAATGATACTGTCATCAATACTAAATAATGATACTGTCATCAATACTAAATAATGATACTGTCATCAATACTAAATAATGATACTGTCATCAATACTAAATAATGATACTGTCATCAATACTAAATAATGATACTGTCATCAATACTAAATAATGATACTGTCATCAATACTAAATAATGATACTGTCATCAATACTAAATAATGATACTGTCATCAATACTAAATAATGATACTGTCATCAATACTAAATAATGATACTGTCATCAATACTAAATAATGATACTGTCATCAATACTAAATAATGATACTGTCATCAATACTAAATAATGATACTGTCATCAATACTAAATAATGATACTGTCATCAATACTAAATAATGATACTGTCATCAATACTAAATAATGATACTGTCATCAATACTAAATAATGATACTGTCATCAATACTAAATAATGATACTGTCATCAATACTAAATAATGATACTGTCATCAATACTAAATAATGATACTGTCATCAATACTAAATAATGATACTGTCATCAATACTAAATAATGATACTGTCATCAATACTAAATAATGATACTGTCATCAATACTAAATAATGATACTGTCATCAATACTAAATAATGATACTGTCATCAATACTAAATAATGATACTGTCATCAATACTAAATAATGATACTGTCATCAATACTAAATAATGATACTGTCATCAATACTAAATAATGATACTGTCATCAATACTAAATAATGATACTGTTATCAATACTAAATAATGATACTGTCATCAATACTAAATAATGATACTGTCATCAATACTAAATAATGATACTGTCATCAATACTAAATAATGATACTGTCATCAATACTAAATAATGATACTGTCATCAATACTAAATAATGATACTGTCATCAATACTAAATAATGATACTGTCATCAATACTAAATAATGATACTGTCATCAATACTAAATAATGATACTGTCATCAATACTAAATAATGATACTGTCATCAATACTAAATAATGATACTGTCATCAATACTAAATAATGATACTGTCATCAATACTAAATAATGATACTGTCATCAATACTAAATAATGATACTGTCATCAATACTAAATAATGATACTGTCATCAATACTAAATAATGATACTGTCATCAATACTAAATAATGATACTGTCATCAATACTAAATAATGATACTGTCATCAATACTAAATAATGATACTGTCATCAATACTAAATAATGATACTGTCATCAATACTAAATAATGATACTGTCATCAATACTAAATAATGATACTGTCATCAATACTAAATAATGATACTGTCATCAATACTAAATAATGATACTGTCATCAATACTAAATAATGATACTGTCATCAATACTAAATAATGATACTGTCATCAATACTAAATAATGATACTGTTATCAATACTAAATAATGATACTGTCATCAATACTAAATAATGATACTGTCATCAATACTAAATAATGATACTGTCATCAATACTAAATAATGATACTGTCATCAATACTAAATAATGATACTGTCATCAATACTAAATAATGATACTGTCATCAATACTAAATAATGATACTGTCATCAATACTAAATAATGATACTGTCATCAATACTAAATAATGATACTGTCATCAATACTAAATAATGATACTGTCATCAATACTAAATAATGATACTGTCATCAATACTAAATAATGATACTGTCATCAATACTAAATAATGATACTGTCATCAATACTAAATAATGATACTGTCATCAATACTAAATAATGATACTGTCATCAATACTAAATAATGATACTGTCATCAATACTAAATAATGATACTGTCATCAATACTAAATAATGATACTGTCATCAATACTAAATAATGATACTGTCATCAATACTAAATAATGATACTGTCATCAATACTAAATAATGATACTGTCATCAATACTAAATAATGATACTGTCATCAATACTAAATAATGATACTGTCATCAATACTAAATAATGATACTGTCATCAATACTAAATAATGATACTGTCATCAATACTAAATAATGATACTGTCATCAATACTAAATAATGATACTGTCATCAATACTAAATAATGATACTGTCATCAATACTAAATAATGATACTGTCATCAATACTAAATAATGATACTGTCATCAATACTAAATAATGATACTGTCATCAATACTAAATAATGATACTGTCATCAATACTAAATAATGATACTGTCATCAATACTAAATAATGATACTGTCATCAATACTAAATAATGATACTGTCATCAATACTAAATAATGATACTGTCATCAATACTAAATAATGATACTGTCATCAATACTAAATAATGATACTGTCATCAATACTAAATAATGATACTGTCATCAATACTAAATAATGATACTGTCATCAATACTAAATAATGATACTGTCATCAATACTAAATAATGATACTGTCATCAATACTAAATAATGATACTGTCATCAATACTAAATAATGATACTGTCATCAATACTAAATAATGATACTGTCATCAATACTAAATAATGATACTGTCATCAATACTAAATAATGATACTGTCATCAATACTAAATAATGATACTGTCATCAATACTAAATAATGATACTGTCATCAATACTAAATAATGATACTGTCATCAATACTAAATAATGATACTGTCATCAATACTAAATAATGATACTGTCATCAATACTAAATAATGATACTGTCATCAATACTAAATAATGATACTGTCATCAATACTAAATAATGATACTGTCATCAATACTAAATAATGATACTGTCATCAATACTAAATAATGATACTGTCATCAATACTAAATAATGATACTGTCATCAATACTAAATAATGATACTGTCATCAATACTAAATAATGATACTGTCATCAATACTAAATAATGATACTGTCATCAATACTAAATAATGATACTGTCATCAATACTAAATAATGATACTGTCATCAATACTAAATAATGATACTGTCATCAATACTAAATAATGATACTGTCATCAATACTAAATAATGATACTGTCATCAATAC